AAAGAAAATTAATAATAATTAATTAGAAAATTATTAATTTAATAAAACTATAAATTAAGTGTGATACACATGGCTAAATTAATATTTGAATAAGGCTAAATATGGATAATAATATAGATTAAAAATAGAATTAATTATAAATAAAATTAATTAATAAAATTATTTATTTGTCTGATTTAGTAGTGATCAGTGATTATTACGCCATGTGCTGCAGCTGCACTATATGCTGCATCACATCTATTGCACCACATAAATAAGTGATTAGTTACAATATAAAGAGAAAATTTTAATTTTCATTATATTTTATTAGCAAATTTAGTCTCTGAATCATTACTTTTGATTATTATTATATATTTATCTAAAGTTTTAAATCTTAAATTTTTTTAATTTTATCTTAAATTATTTAAATATAAATATTATACTTATTTTAAATAATAACATAAAATTAATAATATTATTAATTATTATATTATATACTATAAATAAAATAATTTAATGAAAATATTTATAATTGAATTTTACAAGAAATATTTTTATTAAAATATAAAAAGTAATTTCATAATAAACTTTAAATTATAAATTATTTTATAAAAAATTAATAAATATATTTTGAATTAAATATATAAGAAATAAAATCAAATTTTTTTATAATTATTATATATAAAAAAGTAAAATTAAATAATTATAAAAAGATATAATTATAGAAATTTTTAATTATAATTAATTAATAACTGAAAAACTTAAAAAAAATAGAAAAATATAATTATAAAAAGATTTAATTATATTTAATTTTAAATATTTATATAAAAAATTTTTAATTAATAATAAAAGATTATATTTAATATTAATAAAATATGAATAATATATATAGTAGTGACCAAAAGTAATGACTCAGAAGCTAAATTTACTAATAAAATATAGTGAAAATTAAAATTTTCTCTTTATATAAAAATTTATAATTTTAATAAGAAATTATTTTTATTTTTATGTTAAAATAAAGTTTATCAGTTGTAACTTAACATATATTTTTTTCAGATTTTTTAGATTTTTTCTGAAAGAGTTATTCTAATTATAAAGTTAGTGTAAAAATTTTTATTAATTAAATTTCATTTTTAATTAGTAAAAATTTTTACATTAACTTTATAATTAGAGCAACTCTTTCAGAAAAAATCTAAAAAATCTGAAAAAAATATATGTTAAGCTATAACTGATAAACTTTATTTTAACATAAAAATAAAAATTATTTCTTATTAAAATTAATGACTATATATTCTGAAACTTAGGAAGAATATGTAAAATATGTATAAAAGACTCTGAAAAAACTTTGATAGACAAATCTCAAACTTTAATCATAAATTTTTATATAAAGAAAATTGCAATTTTCATTATATTTTATTAGTAAATTTAGCCTCTGAGTCATTACTTTTGGTCGTCACTGTATGTTAAAAACAATAATAAAACTTTATTTTGAATTGTATCACGTGATAAGAAAGCTGCCAGCAAACTTTCTATCACGTGATATAATTCATAATGAAAATATATATTTTACTTGCAATTTCTATTATTTTAATAAATAAAAAATTTATTTTTTTTTTGATAAAAATTTTTACAGAAATTTTTCAAATGATTACGTAAAAAAATGTACAAAAAAATAAATAATCTCTAATTCTATTATTTAACCATGATATCAATAAGAATATTAATAATAACAGAGCAGAGATTCCATTGTCCAAAATAATGGTTGCTGTACAAATAATTACTCGAATGAAATTAAAGACGGAAAAAAACGAAAGGTCCATGATACTAGCAAGAACAGTAAATTATATAGAAAAAATTATGAGAAAATCCAAAAACTATTAATACTATTAACAGAGAGCCAGCTCCCATTCGTTTGTTTATCCCCTCAATCTCATCTATAATAGCTAGCAAGTAAAGGGTCAAGCCATATATTATATAATACAAGGAATTGGCGCTGACTGAGGCAAGTTAAGTATGTGTGTAATACTAAGGGAAATATATATTATATGAAGTCAAAGTTAGCTTTCATAATTACTTTTTCAATGCTTGAATCTCTTTTAGACATTCTGGAGAAATATGATTATGTGGTTGCGAAAGAATGACAGAAGAGTCGGTACAAGCTTCAATAGACTTGAACCAATTGTTCTCTTTAATTTGCTCAATCGTGATCCGTTTTTTGACATCCGGCTCGAGAATTTTGTACAAGAGATCACGACAGCCACGTGGGAGTTTTTCTATTGGGTCATATTGCTTAATGTTTCTCGTTTCTAGGTAGTTTGCGTAGTGGGGATCGGAGGGAGTCGCGGTCCGAAATGGAATACCTTGATAAATCATACAATGATAAACAATGCCACATGCCCATACATCAACAAGTCGGGCATCATATTCTTTATCTGTTTCGAATTGTTCCTATAAAGTATTATAAATGGTACATTAGATTTAAATTGCTTAACTTTACAAAGCAATCAATCATTTATCTTACCGGAGCAATGTACGGGCCAGAACCACAAAATCCTTTAGAGAGACGTGTGTCTTCTTGCCAACAAGTTCTAAATACCTCCGAGATACCAAAATCTGTAATCTTTAAATGGCCTTTGTCATCAAGCAATAAATTCTCGGGTTTTATATCTCTATGTGCTACACCCATGGAATGTAGATATCCAACGCCTTGAATAAGTTGTTTGAAACAGCAATTTATTTCAATTGTGGTCATATGACCAGATTTGATTGCGGAATACAAGTCACCTCCAGCACAATATTCCTTAATTAAATGAAATTATTTAGATTAGGGAATAAATTTAATTTGGTAAATTTTGCAAAGTGAAGGCCTCAACTTACCATGACTTCACACCAAGCGAGATTGTCATCCTGAACTAAATCTACAGTTCTAACTATATTTACATGTTGAAGTGTGGAGCTAATACAGAACTCGCTGGTTAACTTTTTGATATAATCTTTTTCTGTTTCGTTCTTTCTTTTTTTTCGAAATTCCTAAAATAATTAATTTAAATTTGCTGGTCAGAAATGTTTCAAATCGGAAATGATGAACTTAAGATCAAATTACATACCTTGACAGCATATGTTTTTTCATTATCCGATTGATCCAATTTATGAGCTAAACGGACGACTGCAGTCGCACCTTGTCCTATACAGCCCTTCTCGCATATACCATACTTTTTAACTAACATGCACTCCGAGTCACTAAAACAACCCGAGTCACTTCTCGATAAACACTTATTATTGATGTCAAGTCTCGGAGTAAGAATGTCCTTTAACATCATTTTATTGTCCGCCGTCGTGTTAAAGAGTTCTTCGGCATCGTCGTCCTCCCCTTTTGGACTTCCGACTGGAGAACTACTCGGTGATTTAGAGTCATGTACGAAAAGACGTTGCATACTTTGTACCAACTTCATCTTTTTCGGTTCTGTTGGGGTAAGCAAGGTACTGGTGTTGGCGTTAGAACCGTTTGAAGACGACAACGATACGTCGGTTTCTGTAAAAGAGTTGTTTTCATTTTGAATAGCTACAGGACTTGAGACGAGGGACATGTCATTCCCATTCTTTACATCTTTTGGAATTGCAAGCGTTGAAAGGCGTTCTCGAGATTGACGTTTTTGCGATTTCTCAACATTGTAGTAGCTGCGACGACGAACGTTAACATCAAGTGCAGGTGCCCAATAATCAGTAGGAAAAGTGACCATAGTGTATTCTTGAAGAGATATCAATCAAAATGGAAATAAAAAATTGGCTGACAATATATCGATATTATTTATACTAAACTAATAAATAAATATGGACAGTCAATTTGGTTTTTTATGCAAGAAATGGTAGGTTTTTTTGCAAGTTAATGTGTGTTTCTTTTTATCTAAAAATACACATAAACAATCAATCAATCAATCAATACTTCGGGTGATAACGATAAACAAAAAAAAAGCCCGCTATTGATATTAGATTGGTATTTACTATAATTACTATAAATTATAATTATTTATCTTATCATCTTAATCACTTGCGAAACAAGAATCAAGCGAGATTTATATCAGCTGGTTCTGTACAATGATTAATATCGTTGTCAGTCATGCAACACAAAATTCACCACGTGTTAAACATATCCTTTAGTATCAGCTATTGTTATTATTAAAAAGTAAAACTCTCCTGTACACGACTTCAATGTGAAAATAAGAAAAAATATACCCGATACTTCAGTGTCCAAGGATAGTTATAAAGTTTTCTGGCGATATACTAATGGATTTTGTCTAAAATGGTAATGGATGACATCAAAATTATGAGTTATTTATATGGGATACATGTTGACAAGTGCAGTGCAGCGTCACACCTACCATGTTATTTGTCTTGTAGATTCCTACCAACCGATCCGCCAGCTCAAACATATTATTTCTAAGGCTGATTATGATAAACTGTGCGTTTTTGGTACGTTCTTTGATGTAATTGGCTACAATTGATACATTTCGGAAATCTAATGCTGCATCAATTTCGTCCATTACGTATAACGGAGTCGGTTTAAAATGGTGTAAAGCGAAAACTAGTGCCAAGGAACTCAAAGTCTAATTAATAATATTAAATAAGTCATAAAAGATAAATAAATAAAAATAAAATTCACGGATTTTTATTATAAAAAAACCTTTTCGCCACCCGACAAATTAGAAATATTTTTCCAACTCTTTTTGGGCGGCATGACACTGAACAATATTCCCTCAGAGAATGGATCCAAACTATCCACCAACTCGAGTTCTGCGTTACCACCCATAGTAATAATCTGTTTGGTCATTAGGTTTACAAAAATAATGTGTTAATGTGTTACTCAAAATGTGATGGTCAAACGTAAGTTGATTTACCTGATACATTTCTTTAAGCTTTTGTGATATCAATGTGAAACCTTGCATAAATTCTTCGAGTCTTTGTTTTCTCAATTCATTGTATTTTTTTTTCGCCGCATCTCGACTTGCTGTTATTTCTTCGAGATCTCGCGCGCGTGATCTATACTCCTCTTCGTGTTGACGATATTCGACAAGTACTTTTAAATTGGGCTGGATTTTTTGTAGTTGCTCTGTTCAAAGTTCAAAATCAAAATCATAAACACACTAAAATCACAAATATCCTTTGTAACAAGAATCGAACCTTCCAATTCATCAATTTCCTTTTTAAGGTTTTCTTTGTTGATTGCCCATAGTTCATCATCTGTGTAGGTCTGCAGTTCAATTCCTTCTGGCTCATAATCTTCATCGCCACTGTTTTACGATTACATGATTTAATCGATAAATTCTATCCATCCATCGGAAGATTATCTCACATTTGTTTATTTTCATACTTACTTTATTTGATGAAGGGATAACTTTCCATACAATGATAGCCAATGATCATATCTCAGTTGATTTTCAGTTAGGTGGCGCTCATTATCTTCTAGTCTATTTTTGATCTCCACCTATTATTAAAAAAAGAATAATTTATCACGGATTTGAATATCTTATTTACGAATAATCACAAGGTACCTCTGCTGTTCTGATTTTGTTTATAATCTCTGTCTTTGAATCAAGTTCTCTTTGAATTTTTTCCAACTCTTCTCGTCTTTTCTCCATTAACTAATATTTCGCACAAGTCAAAAATAAACGAACATGTAATATAAAAATTGAGAAACATAAATAAAAAATGATATATACATCTTCTGACTGTCTGGCCTTTTGACGTATTTCACGGGACTCTAATGTTTTCTCTTGCATCTCCTCTTCAAGTTGTTTTATTTCCAAGCTTAATTCTTCCGCCTCATTTTCAGACTTCTCAATAGAATTTTGCAACTTTATGATGTCTTTTTCCGCTTTTGTTTTCGACACTTGCAACGTAGTTATTCGATCATTATGAGAATCTATTTGTTCTTTTATTTCATCAACTTTTGCCTTTTGACTTCGAAGTTTCCCGCCACCAACATCGAGAATCTTTTGCTGTAGATCTTTTATTTCCTGCTCTATTAAGGCAGGATGTGTTTTGAGATTTTCAAGTTCTTGAGTTAACTTGCTGATGGCTGATTGTAATTGTTGCATTTTCCTTGAATCCTCGGGATTTAGTTTATTTCTTTGGCTATTATAAAAGATTATTATCTTAAACCAATCTTACAATGTATATATATTTAAATAAAAATAGTAATATCTACCGCAATTCTATGACTCTCTTTTGAGCATCTGACATTCTTTTTTTGTTTGAATCTATGTCCATCTTTAATTTCGAAAGATCAAGGTCAACTTTGGGAATTTCTGCTTTTTTCCGTTCAAGTTCATTTTCCAACTCTTGACGCTCTATCTGAAGTTCTCGCCATTTTTCTTCACATCGATTTTGCGCTCTAATCAATTCAGCCACCATGGTGGTTGTGATATCAGACACGAATTTCGAGCTCATTCCGCCTTTCATTACTTTTGTGCCTCCACCAGTCATAGTGCCTGACACATCAATTAATTTACCGTCTAAAGTAACAACTCTCCAGCGTTGTCGACCAAAAGCGATTCGATTTGCGTGCTCGAGATTTCTCGCGACTAGAGTATTTCGCAAGACATTGAAAAAAGCTTGTGCAAACCTCGGTTCTTTTGGTTTAATAAGATCGAAAAGTCGAGGTACATTCTCGGGAGTATCGATTTTTCCCATATTCATTGATGCAAGTTGACTTAAAACGACAAAAGTCGCACGACCTAGATTGTTTTTTCGAAGAAATTCAATGCAAGCTTGTGCGTCGTCTACCGTGTCCACGACTATGTTATCTAAAGCAGAACAAGCAGTTGAAATGGCAATGTCATATCTGTCGTCAATTACGCCAAGATTTCCCAGACGATCCTAAATAAAAAGTTCGAGTTGAAATAATTTAAAGAATAAGAAAATTCAATCAAATAAAACTCACGTGAAGGCCTTTAATACGACCGTTTTCTTTTAATTTAAGCAGGCTTTTCAACACTACACCTCTTGATTCTGCTTGTTTTAGCTGAATATCAGCTTCGCTTGCTTTTTGTCGAGCGTCTTTTAAATTATTCTGATACACCTCGTGTAGTGCTATATTATTCTTCAATTCCAAATAAATGAAAAAATTGTTTCCATCGATAGCACAAATCGTTGTTTTTATTAAAACTTACCTTAAGCTTTCTCTCGATTTGCTTAACTTCATCGGCAAGCTTTTCTTTTAGAGCCATAGCAGCCTCGATATCTATTTTCTATTATATAAAAACGTGTTAATGTATTATTGTAGTTAATATATACTTTGAAGGAATATTGATGATGACAACAAACCTTCGAATTGCGAGTTTCTTCAATGGTAATGATCTCATTTTCCGCTTGTTCAAGGGAAGACTGTATTGACCGAGTTTTTTCTTCAATAATTTCACATTCTGCCCGTAAAACATCAATATTCGATTGCTTGGCATTGATTTTTTCGGTCCAAGGAGCTAATTCCTTTTGCTTCTCTTCGATCTGGGCCGAATAAACCTCGGTTTTTCCTGTATTAACAGATTTATATAAAAATTATCAACCAATGTTATAGTTTGATAAGATTATTCGTGTTAATCAAATAAAATTACTTCTTACCTTTGAGACTTTGACGGATTTTTTCCAATCCTGCTTCTTGATTTTGTAGCAATTTCTCCAGCTGGCCAAGTTCACGCTCACGTTTGACCAGGTCTTCCTCATGATATTTGATAGAAGTTTTGGTGGCTGATAGGGATGCACGATCCTACAATAATTATTATTATCGAAAGTTACAAAAATATAGAAATGGTCTAAAAAACAAATCACTTGAAAAAAAAGGATTTATAATACTTTTTCTAATGTTTTAATTAGTTTCTTTTGTTTGTTGGTTGCATGTTTCTTCTTTTCCTGCAACCCGATATCTTCTTTTTCGTATTTTTCCAACTGTTTTCTGATTTTTTCTGTTTCTTCTTTGATAACCTAGAAGCGTTAAAGAGTAGTAGTTAGCAAACGAGAAAGAAAAAAATACCCTTTGCAATATTACAAAAAATTACGTTATATTCTTGCGACGTTTCGTCGACATTATCTTGCAACTTCTTAGTTTCTTCGATAATATGCGCGTGTTTCCGCTGTTCATCATTTAATTTTTCTTTCCATTCATTCTACCGACAAAAATTTTCTTTATAAAACAGCATCTTTGATAAAAAAAAATATACTAAACGTCGAATATAATATTTACAACAGCCTCGGTCGCAATATCTATATTATTTTTGCACTCTAACAACTGCCGTTGACAAAAAAGCGATTTTTTTGTTGTAAGAATATTTTCGTCGCGAAGAAATGCCTCTGCTTTCGCTTTTTCACCCTTTAATAGACAAAAAAATAAAGTTTTTAAAAAGAATCAAATTAATAAATTAATTAGAAAACTAAATAATACCTCCAAGCTTTGTTTTTCCTTCTCAACAATTTTAACTCGATTCAATTTTTCGGATCTTTCGTCATCGAGCTTCTCTACTTGATTACTCGCTTCTTCAATAGGCACTTTGTATTTCGATGTGCCAATAATATCTTCGAGATATTCCAAGAGGCCATCTTCATGCTCATTTAATGCTTTCGGCTTCATCTGTGATATTGATTCAACTTCACCCTGGATTCACCCATAACACGATCATATTCGATAATAAAAATTAACAATGTAATGTATCCATGTATCATATATTATGTTGTCATAAATCACTTACTTGAAGAATAAGGAACCGTTTATGATCCAAATCAATTCCACGTTCTTTTAACAAAACAGTCACTTCGGTATAATTACTTGCATCGTTATTGATGAAGTATTTGCTAGTATTGTTGCGGAACGCTTGACGCGAAATCATTAACTGAGAATTTGGGACAACTTCATATTCATTTGGCCCTGACTATAAGAAAAAAATAATAAATTAAATAAAAATAACATGGATTAACAAAATTTCCCATTTTTCCTCTTCTTACCGTATCATAAATTTCGTGAAAATGAACTTGGACCGTGCAACTATCGAGACTCTCAAGACCATGTGACGAATGAATCAATCCAGACAATTTTGCTTGCCGCATTTTACTCGCCCGATAACCAAATACAAACAAAAGAGCATCGATAACATTGGATTTTCCTGAACCGTTTGGTCCTACAACAGAAGTGAAGGACTAAGAATATTTTGATAAATTTTTTATTAACATGATATATCGGTAATAACAGCAGAAGGCTTTAGTTGCCATTTAATAAAAACTTAAATTTCGACGATACCTTATGAAATGGGCCAACTTCTTGACGACCAGCATATGACTTGAAATTTATGAGTACCAATTTAGATATTACCAAACGGGTTGTAAGTGACAACTTAGTCGCCATATCGTGAAAACAAAAGTTTGAAAGTTTGTTAAAGAATACGCGTTTTTTAGTTTATAATTTATACACGCATTTTATTATCTTGACCAATCATCATCAAATCAGTGATAGCGCTTATTTGAACATCATGCAGAATTGCATTCATCAACAAATGTTACTATTTACTTCGTATTTTATTTTGTTTTACAACTATGGGTTGGTGCAAAAAGATTTGTACCTCAATATAAAAATCAATAATTGCTTCTAATAAAAATCATTCAAATTTTAAAATGATCCTAATTATTCTATTATACTTTAATTTAATAATAAATGAAGTATTACTTTACTAAAAAAAAATTAAAATAAACATTTTAGATATTATCACTATCATTTTATAATATTAGAACTTTAAATTACGCAAGCAGGTTGCTCTAGATTTGATAAATATATATTCTAAATTTCATAAAAATTAAATCAGTAGTTATAAAGATATTAAGATTCAAAGTTGAGTAATTAAATTATTTACTATATAATATTTATATTAATTTT